CAGGAATGGAAAATTGGGAGTGATACAAGCATGGGAAGTGCACCTTGCTGCTCAAATTCAAACAGGGATTCTGTGCAGGCTCAGCAGGTAGATCACCTGGGTTACATTTAGCTGTGAAACAAAACTGCCTCTGGATCTGCTCCTCCAAATGTTAAAGTCGTGCACTTTTAACCCGTTAGGGTCATGCTCAAGTTCACCTGGTGACCTGTTAGACAAAGCAGGACAAGTTACCAAATTTGGGAAAAACTGTAATACTGAGAAACAGTTTGGGTTTTGTTTTGTGAGAGAGTTCAGGCTTGAATATCAGAAAAAAAAAAAAGTAAAAACCACTTATATCAAGCAATACACCAAAACCCCTCCCCTCTTTAGAAACCTCATCTAAAAAATAGGGGTAGAAAACCTGCTTTGGTAAACTCCAAGGGGCATTTCTTCTATAAATCAGTTCATATTATTTGCCATWACRCTGAAATATGGTTAATTAAARCTCAAATTCRTGMTACATATTTTTCCCAGGTGCATGAYGTTGACAGGAGCATATCTGCATCAGAAATTGAATTTCTGCCTTCTTTTCTCCAGTGGGCCTGAATTTGACTGAGTAATTTACTCAGGAAGGAATTAAAATTCTAACACAGCRTTAATTTTTCTACAACCAGACACTGTAACAGCTGACATTTCTATTCCATGCTCCTTGTTTTCTCACACTTCACACAAAACCTTACCCTTAGAATGCAAGGAGCCCAAACACTTGAATCACATTGAGGATGTGAATCAGAGTCTCAGCAGAGAGCCTGATTGGATTTGGAAAAGAGCAGTTCCAACAGGTTTGAGCAGCTGCAGTCTACATCTCATCCTTTTCCCCGAAATGTCACAGGGTGCTGATTAAATGTCACAGGGTGCATTATCATTGGTGTCTGTRGAATTAACAGGATTAACCCCAGGAGGGTTCCCAGCTGCAGCTTTTGCTGCCTCCACCACTTTATCACGGCACAGGAAAACTGGGATCAGGACCCTTCATCAATAAAGGTGAGCAGGGCTCACCTGCTGCYCCTGAACCCTCTGCCAAAAGAACTGCAGTCACAGGGATCAGACAATTCTCTGCTTTTGTCCTTTCTGCAGGGAAAGAAGTTACATCCAATGCTTTGCCTTGGCCACAGACTCACATAAGAGAGCAAACAGCTCCCATGGATCATCTGACTCAGCTGTTTTTATTGTGTTTAAATGTCCAGATTGCCTCCTTGTGATCACTTCAGACACAGTCATCGAGACAGCCCCAGAATAAATACTGTACTTCTAATTTAACAGATTCMTTTACTTGGTTATTTCTGTTACAATTCAGTACTAGAGATACTATCCATTTTTACCTCATTTTTTTTTTTCCTTCAAAACGTTCCCCTCTGGATAACAGTAACAATCAAATATTGAGGCATGGCTATTCACTATCTAYCTGAAAACTGCGCCAAGAAATTCGCAAAGATTAGACATTGAACTCAACCTCACTTTTCCCATATCTGAGCAGAATCACCAACACTCCTTCAGCAGCACAGGACCAAGCAAAAGACACAAAATCTCCAAAGCAGTCTTCCCAGAAACATTGAAAGTGGTCATTTTCAGAAGTGCTCAAGTAAACCAATGACGTGGCTTCCATCACAGTTGATAGAAATAAAGCAGCGAAATCATTGAAACACTTAAAAAACAGACTAGTAATGCCAGCCCCATTCTAGGGAGATAAATAATTTCTGTTTATCAAAACAGAGTGTGCCCCACTGTTCCCAATTCTGAGAAGYCAAATTTCAATGCACTGTGTGGGAGCTCACTGAGCTGAAGAGCACAAGGGAGGTCACTGGTGGGAAGATACTTCGTTTGCCGACAAAAATTGCAGCTGTCCCATTCCAGCCCAACCTGTTTGGAGCCAGCTTTGTTTTACAGGTTTTCCTGCCACAGAACAGAGCCCTTGCACGAACTGGGATTTCCTGCTACAACTGAAAACAGTCTGTGCATTACAACATCAACTCTTGGTTGATAATTAATCTTTGCAATGAGCTCCTGCTTTGACCTTGTCGAAAATATAGAGAAAAATCTGATAAAGGTATTGAGACTAAACTTACTTTCGGGTTTTATTGTTTTTACCAAAAAATACACACCATTTCTGGGCAGATATTAGAAATATCACCTTTAAACACAGCAGAAGACTTATCTTGACAGATGCAGCAGCACCATAAGTTATCAGCAAGATTCAATAAAACAAGATGATGGGTAAAAATTGAGAAATAATATTCTGATACTGGAGTCTCTATTAGTTTTGGAGATAAATGATGCATGTCCAGAATTCTTACACCTTGTTGAAGGGCTGGGAGAGAGAAATTGTGTAGGTACAGAACTATTGGTAAGGAAATGGGGAAAAGAGCAGGGCTAGAATAATCACCACTCACCTCCCAGAAGACAAAACAGTGTATTCCTTGGCCAAATACATCATCCTGCCCTTCYCAAAGGATTTATAAGAGCAGCTTTAGAATACTGTTCCCCTGTGATGTGTTCTGTTGAAGTACATTTTAAAAAAACAGTTATATGAAGTGATAAGCCTGACAAGGAAATCATTGCCAAAGAAAAGGGAAGAGGGTGTGAAGGACAAGTGGACACATTAATAGGAGAGGAGTGTGGTGTTTAATTGAAGAGCAAGAGATCAGGAAGTATACAGAAGAAACAGAGAGGAGTTTTAACTGCTGTCCCTGGGAACTTTCTGACATTCATTTGTGGCACAGACTGAAAGCCAAAACTCATGGAAATCAGAGACAGAAYCCCCATTGACTGGGCAGGATTGCTCTCAGCCGAATAAATGAGTGGCTGTTCACTCGCAGGCGAGACAGCCCAGCCTGTACAACCATCACTACAGCAGGGCCATGGAAGGAATAATGCCAGCAAGATGTAGGCCAAAATTTAGGGTAGCTAGGAAAATCTTCATTAAAAAGCGAGGAAAAAAGCAGAAATTATTTTGGAATTAATATTATGGTAGTTGAAGTGTATAACTGAATTATACACTTCAGGCAAAGAAAGAAGATGGAAAATAAGTTGTGTGTGTACAGTGACTGTAGTGAAACCGTATCCTGACTGATGTCCAGGGGCTGTTTGTCCTGGAACCAAGGTGAGGAATGCACTTTTTTTCTGAAAATTAGGAGTACCACTGCAGTGAGGTGTTAAACAATACTTATAATCCAATAAGGATCCATAATACTCAGCATAAACAGTTTTATTTAATTTTAAAGCACAAGTTTTTTTCCATTACTGACTTGACCAACATCCTTCGCAGACCATAGCAGCTCAGCTACACTTGGCTCTCACAGCAGGACAATCTCTGTAAGTTTAAGAATGTTGCACAAAAGTGGTTTTCTTTCTTTTTCCTTTTTTTTTTTCTCAAGAAAGAACAGAGGGAAAATGAGGGAAGTGAGTAAAATTTTTAACATTAGCAGATCGTTTGCTTTTAGGTAAATAGCCTCGGGGGATTAGATGAGATGCAGTATTTAAACAAGCAGATTGAGTTTCATAATAAATGAGCTTTTAAATTATTCTGACATATTCAATCACACAAACAAGTTTTCCCCAAAGGGAAAAAAAACAAGTTTCTTCCTCAGAAAAACTTCTCCACCCTTTTCCCTACATCAGCAAATAACCTTACGCTTCTCCTCAGACAACTTACTTGCTTTAGTCCTGAGCCTTGTGGTCTCATTTTCATTTACATCAGCCAATGCTATCCTTAGGATTTAGAGATTTATAAACATTTCATGGTAATCTTGATAATGTATTTGTGATGTATTGGATCCAGTCCTAATGAAGGTTTGTTTTAAAGAAATGTAAACACGAGGGACTTGTTCTCATCTAATGCAAYTTGGCAGCAGAGTTTCCTACTAGAGGAAATGAGCTGTCCCATGGTTAGCGTCCTGCTCTGGAACTCAGCAATTCCTGATTTAGTTCTCTGCTCTGCCATAGATTTCCTGGATGACTTTAAATAAATCTCTCTCTACTTTTGATCCCCCCATGTAAAATGAAATCATARTAATWCTTGYTTCCTGGTTAAGAGMTGAAGSAAAASGAAACACAGCTGAAAAGAGTGCAGYGTCTATCGGCAAAGTTGAGCTGTTCTTATTCAGATTGTGTGTTTGCTCGTGCTTTCACCTCACCTCTATCTGCAGTTTTTATGTATGAACAAACCTTTCATAATGTAGCAAAAGTCTTTCTTGTCCTTTTTTTCACCCCAGTAATCTTTTCTTGGCTTTATTCTCTGTATATCCTTGAGTGCTTTATCCCCCACCTGTTGCACGAGTTTGCCYTCATCCCTGAGCAAGCAGCCATCACTGTCACCAGAGTTCAGTGCAAAACYAAGTCATTTTATAGTCTAATCAAGGCAAATGGTTCACTCTGTTCTTCTTCATAAGCTTCCAGAACTAAAACATGGATAAGACAAAAATAACCCCCTGTAAACTAGTCTTGTAAATTCTACCCAGCCTGACACACATTTCATCCTGGATGCTGGAATGGGGGTGTCTTTCAGAGCCAGTCCTGGACAGTGTACTTAGAAATCTTCAGTTCACAATGTGCCATGATCAAATGTACACCACAGTGTTTGCCTTTACAGATATTTCTTTTTAAAATTATTAACCATATATATGCTATTAATGAATATAGAACATTTTATAATATAACATAAAAATATTCACGTAAAATATCAACATGAAGAGAAGATGGAATAAATATCCAGAGCAATTTGTGCTTTCAAAAGTATTCTTTGAGAGAAATCAAAGGAACTTTGATAATTCAAACTATTGAAAACCAGACTTGATTTTAAAAAATAATATTTCCATTGTAACCACCTGTAAAGCTATTCTTTATAAACTCAGCTACCTTCAGTCTGAGATTACTAGGGAAATGAGACACAGATTCTCCAACATCTGTTTTGTAAAAAAAAAAAACAAACAAAAAAACCAGAAACAAAAACAAAATAACCATAATGGAAATCCAACCTTGAGAGACACACATTTTGTTCCATTCTAGGCTTTGATCCATGTTCATGTATGACTAGTTTTTTGGGATGCTTTCACATTCCTAATCCCAGCTTCAAAGTCTTTGYATCTGTTAGATCTGTCACCATGTCMCAAAGCTGTACCCATGGTTACTGCTGATGGAGTTCACAGTTACAGTGGAAAGTGACGACTCAGACCAATGGTTAATGTTCCAGTCATGGAACACCAGGAAGGGATTTKAAGGATCATCTGGTCCAAMCTTTCTTGGCAAAWTCACAGTGTAGACTGCACCCAGATTAGCAAAGCCATCAGCACAGGGAATGCAGTGCATCAGCCCACGGTCTGGGGACATCAGACACAGGCAGCACCTGCACACATTTCCACTTGATCCTCAAACCAGCATCAGCAGCATGCCTGCCTCAAGAAATTCCATCTCCCTACAGCATAAGATTCCTTTAGCTGACTAGTTTCTCCTTCTTCTTTCACTTATGAAAGCTTTCCCAAAATGCACAGCTACTGACTTATTCACCATTTTCCACAGAACTCGGTTTTGTTTTCTTTCGGTGACATTCCAAGCCCTGCTTGCTGCTCAGAAAACCTCAACGTGATCCGACACTTTGAACTTGGAGACAGACATAAGTAGGTCTGACGGGAAGCCTTCCAAAGTGTAATTGAGACTGCTGGTTTTTCAGTGCAGCCTTTTCAAAGACATACAGCATCTAGGAAACAAAAAAAAAAAAAAARAAAAAAAATGTTGGTAATTCACCCCTGGACTAACCCCAATTACATATCTAACCTACCCAAAACATCACCTTCTAATTTTACTCCATATTCTTTATAGCATTCTTCATATGAGCTAGTTTTAATACAGCCTAATCAAAGCTGTACTTACTGGATAATTGCTTTGACATTGTTCCTGTGTCTAAAATGCAAAATARCAGTATTCTACATGTTTAATTTGGTGGGCAACATATCAAATGGCAGTTTGAAATAACGTAATGCCTGAAGAGGAGGCAAAGAAGAGAGCGTGAGTGCCTTCATAACCAGAACCTAAGTGAGATATTTCCATTTCCCCTATGGCACAGCAGATAAAGCAAATTACAGTTATTTAATTTATGCTTGGACAAAGAAGAATGGAATTCTTTTAATTCTCATTTTCCGTCTGAGAGTCAAACACTTCTGACGTAGATGCAGAAGAAACCACAGCCTCTCCTTGGCTCTACAGGAGAGGCAACATGGGTTTTCAATCACACCTCGGACTCCTTTCTGCAGCAAGACACAGCCAAAGCTCTTGTTTATCTCTCTAAAGCCTGTTTGTGTTGGATGGTTTCTAACAGCATTATTTCCATTTCTATTCTGTACCACATTATTGTAAGACAAGCAGGAAAAGTTATTTGCCTGTCTTTCATTCTGTCTGCTTCTCCACATTGTATTTCACCTTCACTGGAGACTTGAAGACCTGGAGATCCCAGCTGAAGGTTTTGAAGCTCACACTGCCTGGAAATTGTAATTCTGATGATGACTTAAAATATGAAGCCCTTGTCCAGAAAACCAGTGATTTTTAACAAGTTTAAAACCTGTCCTAATGCTCTGATCTAAACCAGCTGCTCACATTATGTAGTGACAAGTGAACATGATCCTGAAACAGAACATGTGCATCACCAATAGTTCTATTTCTATAGCCAATCAAAAKAAACCATGAATCCCAAAATAATATCAGCTCTAAAGAGATTCCAATATTAATTCAGTTTGAATTCAAGTTTATCGGAAAGAAAGAAATACATCTAAAACAGAACTACCCTGTCTTCTCTGTCCTGGTTTTCTCTGAGCCTGTTTTGATTTTGATTACATTTCACATTGATTTTCAGGTTCAAATAAAGGTATAATCCTACTGAGTTACTCCGCAACTGATGTTAAAACAGAAAACATGCAAGTAATTGATTTTTTTGTTGTTCAGTATCCATCAGGAAAAAAAAAAAAMCAAACAAMAAAACAACCAAAAAGAAYAAGTTAGTTGTTATTGTTTTGGGCCTGTCCCAAACTGAAATGTTTCCACATACTCAGCCAATTAAGACAGATCATTTGAGATTAAACAAAACATTTCATTCAAGCAGAAATAAATCAGACATACTAAGTAATACCAGCCAGCCAGAGTCAGAAAGCATTAACAAAAAGAGCCCTTCATGTGCCAGAGGTGSTGATCCCGTGGCTCTCGGGTCCCGATGTCCCACAGGCAGTCCAGGGCTCGTTCCCGTGTCAGGCTGGGTACATAAAGCAGCAGGGTTGGGTTTTGTGGGAATGTGCTGGCTGTGTCCTCTGAGCCCTCYTCTAGGAGAAAGGAGCCAGCTGTGGCCAACACTCTGCCTGGATCGGTGACAAGTGACATGTTGAGCCTCGGGGAGCTGTTGTCACCTCCTGCCTGTGACCTTCTCTCAGAGTTTGCTCCGCTTTTTTGTTAGAGCGTTTTGCTCCTTGCTCATGTGAAATAAGGAACGTCACTCACAACAAGTTTCACCTTTTCCTGATGGAAAATCACCCAAAATATGGGTTAGTGAGCATTAACACTGCCCTGAGCACTCCAGGAAGAAATTTTGCTTGTCACTCAGGTAGACCAGAGCAGAAGATTGGGACATGATGGGAACAAACCCTGCTCAGCATTAGTCCTAGGATATATTTTTCTTCATCTTATATTGCCCAAAGTAGAATACTTTGAGAAGTAAATTGTTCACCTAAAAACAGTTTGTCAAAGGAATTAAAGAAAAGGACACATATATCTGGAATTCCTTTGGGTTTTAGTGTAGACCAATGTGACAGCTCAGATTTCCTCAGAAATTATTTAAATTTCTAAATAATTTCATGCTTTTGCTTTTCTTTTATAAAATCTACATGTTCATAGTAAAATTTCTCCTGAAAACATAAACAATCTTTAAGCTTTAGGATAACTATGAGACTGATCCTCTTCCTATGAAGCTTTTTCTGGAGAAGAAAAGGCTAGAAYTTTAGCATGTAAATTAATTACATAGACAAAAAGTAAACACAGTTAGTAATGGAAGCATCATCCACACAAGGGTACAAGGTCAGCAYATCTGTTTTTTCAGTGTAATAAAGGACACCATTCTTTACTGTTCTTTACTTTTGACAGCCAAGTTTTGTCAAACTGTTGAATTTAATAAAAACTGAGGGTATTGCATTGTCAAAGTTCACTTAATGCCTGAAGTGAAATGCAGATGTTTAACTTACCGCAAACATCGATATTTTGTTTAYTTAACAAAGGGTTTGAGGAATTCATGTGCCTCTTCTAGAGCCACATTGCTGCTTTCTGAGGCTGCTCTTGCTGATGTCAAACCCTCCTGGCTTAAATTTGGGTCAACACGGACTGCACTGCGGTAATTGAAGGGAGGACTGGGAAGTTGCAGGCCTGTGAACAAAACAAGAAGTGTCTTCATGGTTGTAGGTAGCAGCTGCCTAAAAAAAAACCAGCAGGGATATGAAGGAAAGAACAAGAATTTCTGCRAGATGTTAAACAGAATTAATTCATTTTTTCCCCCTCAGGAATAAAATTCGGTAGCAATTCAGAGTTGTATCATTAGAATTTTCTAGTATCAGGGTAAGTCAAATGTCACAATGAAATGATGAATGTTTTAAAAAGCAGGCAGATTTCCCGTCACATTTCACCTGTTGAAATCTTTTTGACCCTTTTCTTTTGTAGCTTTTCTCTTAAACCATGTAGGGAAAAGCAAGTCCTACTCACCCTGCTTCCTTTGGACAAGCTGCTTCTGCTGAGGAGACAAAAGGATGTGAATTGCAGATCGTGAAATGGCTGACTTCAGCCTGGAGTCTTGAGCTACCAAAAACAAATACTAAGTCAAAGGGAAATGTTAGTGGGATTTTCATCATTTAAAATAAGTGATTGGCCCCTGATCAGGACAGCCTTCAAGCACCCAAAGTGTTTCTGCAGAGATGTACCACACTGGTTAAATAGCAGAGCATTAGTCCTGCTGAAATATATGAAAAATCTTAATAGGATGAGAATGCCACTTCACAGGCGTGAGGATCAGTCACCAGGRTTGTGTCCCTAATTCATATTCACCCCACAAAGCAGTAGCCTCCCTCAGCTACCCCAGCAAGTGAATGCTCTCTGGAACAYGACAAGCTTTTGTGTTGGCTCTGCWCATAATGGAAATGTTGCTTAAGAGTTGTTGAGCAATCTCCTGTAAGGAAATTTGTAATTATGAGAAACCTTTTCCTAAGGGATTTTCTGTTTTGAAAGATGTTATGTGCTATGATTTGTGGGGTGTTCGAACTTGAAAATCCTTGCGGTCGGGAGCAAAAGGTCTTTGTTTGAGAGCTTGGTTATTTGAGGGCTTCTTGTTTGGGAATTTTTCAGCACTGTAAGCCCAATAAACATTTAATTCCCCATTTTCCCCCAAACTCTCTTTGTAGCTTCTGTTTTGTTATCACCTCCCTGACTGCACTGATAATCCAAGCCCACATAAGGTGCATATTAGCACATTGCACAATTTCAGGCCCCTTTGGCATGGCACCAGACAGCAGCTGATTCAGACACAAATGGAGTCACTGGGAACCTTTTCCTTGACCTCCCAGGGCTTCAGGAAGGCCTGAGAAGATCAACTCATTAATCCACTCATTTCCGTTGAGAGTGTCACCAGGAACGTTGAAGCACAGAGACATTAAGGGTACACATTAGAAATTAGACAGGTTCACTGTTAGAGGGTAAGGAAACTTGCCTCTTGCTGGTTGTCTCTCCAGTTCCTTGTGTTTTGGGTAGTTACAGGGGGTCTGGTTGGGTGKTTTTTTGTCACTATGGGGTGAAGTCCCATCTGGGAATTTACCGACGTGAAAGTGTTTAAGCAAAGAGATTCCTTTTTGGACTGGCAAGAACTTTGTCTCAATGTGGTTTATTCCCTGCTTTGTTTTCTTACGTTTATAAAGAAACTACAAAGTATTTTTTACATCTCAAACTGTTTCAATTGCTTCCTTTCCAATAGGAAATAGAATCCATATCATCTTTCCCTTCTGATAGCACAGCAGATATCATAAAACTGTAAATAAACTGTTTGCTTGGTAGGAAAAAATATTGGATTGCTGCCATCTTTTGGTTACGCTCTACGATAATCACTGTCAATTAGATGTTGTTTTTCTAAACCAAACACAAAAATAAAGTATTCTAAAGACATTTATGACTTTGTGGTAATGAAGGGAATTCTCTAGATAATACAAATCCAGGAACATTTTCTCTGTCGTCACTGAAGTTTGAGAAGCAACTTTAATGTATTTGCACAAGGACCTATGGGAATGCCCTCTTGAGGCAGCAGAATATCAGGATGCTTGAAAACAGYACATTTTAGATTTTTTTCTAATTACAGACTAATCATTAGATAACTTGTGATCCTAGTTTTTTGAATTTCATTCTTTGTTTTGAGAAGCTATTTTGTATTTCACCACTGCCATGAATATAYRTRGCTATATTTTCCAGAGTGATTACCAATTTTTCTGTATAACATTTGGGATTGAATATGCCTTTATAGACCTGAATTGTCAGAAGTTTTGAATGATGACCTCTCTGATCCATCCAAATTAAATRGCAACACATGGGCATAATTAGAGAGCAGAGAGTGAGTGAGCACATGCTCCCCATCGGTTTTGTCTTTACGTCAGCTGACGAGCAATGACTAAAACTGCAGACTTCCATCACTGCTTTCCCAGGCGGTAAATACATTCACAGCTGTTTCATTTAGGAGACCAGAACACAATGAATGCAAGGAATACAGTTGACAAACAGTTTAGCAGCTGAATTTCAGGCAAGCTGAATAGCTCACAAATTATCATGCCAGCTGGAATGTTTCAGAAAGTGTTCTGGAAGATGTACACAAACTACTTCCCTTAATTTCAGTGAGAAATCAAGATAAGAGCCTCCAACTTCTTGGCAGATGTTTGATAAATAGCAGGAAAAAAAAGATAAAAAAGAAATATATCGCAATGAAGCTGTGGTTTCTCGATATTCTCTGATAATTCCTCTAGTTCACACTACCTGCAGCTGGAATGTCTCAATAGAGGGATGGGATATATCTCGTCATGCTCAAGGTGTGGAATATTTCTCACTTAGCCTTTAGTCTACCACACACCCAGCAGAGAGCTCTGATTAACCCAGAAAGGTGAGTATTGGTACCTGTGTTCCAGCCAAAATAATAACGACTCCAGATAAATGGAGGCACACGTGGCCACCTGAAACACATTTTGCACCCAAAATCAGCAAGACAAGCTAACACTACTCAGGGCATAAAACCATTTATATAATTATGAAGCCATTCAAAAGAACTGATCAATGCCAAAAGTATTTCCAAGCTMCCCTTTTAGTGTGCCTGGAATATGATGGATTTTTATTACTCTTATTTATGTTARGTTATTGTCCAAATGTACTAATCTAATCAGTAGTAGAGATGCTTGTATTTGATTGTGYATAAACACAGGTTACCTATATCCTGCCAGACTTACAGTCCATTTGATCAGGACATTTTAATTTCATTCATGGAGCTATAAAATTTATATTAACTAATTCTTTATTCCACTGATGGGCAACGTGTTGCACACAGGTCAGAAATGACAAACAATGCTACAGTCAGTGGAACACAAGCACAAATAAAATTGCTACAGCTGTGGAAAAACCTCAGGATGCCAAAAGGTGTAAAGGTACAAAGAACAATCTGGAGGAGTCAGGGTAAGAGATAGGGGAATATTTTGCACAGATAWAAAAAGTGTTTTCCATCTCAAATTAATTCTCTTCCATCTATCTGGAAGCTTTCCCAAAACTGGCATCTAATTACAAGGCTCAGAAATGAGGATTTTTTTTCTAGGTAATTACTTTCTGTAGTAATAAATTCGATAGTAATGAAGTTAAACATAGCAAAAAATCTTTAAATATCCCAAAAAGTTAGTAGGAAGAGGCAAGTTAGAAGGAAGTGGGCTTTCATATAATGCTCTTAAYACAAAGCACTGTAGAAAGGAGGCGTTGAATTTGTCTCGGTATGGAATGAAGGCTTCAATGATGATTTCCTCTTTAATTTCAAGGTTCCAAGAAAGACATCTATGAATTTTCACATAAAACAGAAGAAGCCTTTTGTTATCAAAAAGTGGCACTTAATTTGAAGTATTATCTAATTAAAAGCATTATTCTGTCAGCACCACAGAGATTACATTTGCTTTAACATGAGTGAGTGTGAATTTACCAGATTATGTTTTGGATATCCTCATGGTGCACRCCCACGTCTCACTGGACACAGCTGGTGCAATGGACTGTGCCTTCAGCAGGGAAATAAGTTTGATGTGTGTTAAACAGTAGAAATTAGATGGTTTATAATACAATTTTCACTACTTTAGAGTGTTCAGGTATTGCCTRGAGCAGGTCACAGGCAGGCAGAGGTTCCATGGTTTTGTCATCACTGCAAAGGACTATCCCATACATTCCCAAAGCACATCTGGGCTGCTGCTCTGTCTCAGCCGTGTSGCCGACCTCGCTGGTCATGCACCGTGAAAGGGAGCTGCTCTGAAAACAGAACATTGCTCAACAACCTCCCCCTTCTGTGGTACAGATCAGGTGCCAATTATGTATCGTTAATATTGTGTTTGGATAGCAGATCGGGCAGACTCAGCTAAAATAACACAGCTTGTTTCACTAAGGCTTTGTGTAAATAAAACTATTGTACTGTTCMTACTCCATACTTACTGCTTCTCCCCATGGGCCTGATTCTGCTTTTCCTAAACTCAGTAAAAACCAGTTCCATAAGTTTTTCATTAGTTTCACAATGTATATTTCACAACATACAATAGTCACAAATTTGACCTTTCTCTAGCCRTTTTCTGCAAAACGTCTCTCGTTCTCTGCAAGATACAACCATTTGTTCATCACTTTCCTTGAAGGCTGAATTAAAAAAAGACAGAGATCATATGTCATTTACTTCTGGATAAACAGAATCCTTCCCCAATCCCTAAAAGCAATGCCATGACACACCAGGGATCCAGGATGGTGCTGTTGGGCTCCATCAAGGTGCAAATGGAGTCCAAAGTCAGTGCAAAATGAAGATTTATAATATCCCAACCAATTTGTAACTGAACAATTAGACATCAATAGAAAACAAAATCTAAATAAATTTAAATTAGGCAGTAACTCACTATAACTATTATCAAACAAAGAACTTCCTCATGCATTACTGAAAAATCACCAGGCATGGATACCCAATGTCTGTACTGGCCRCTGACTCCAAATCTGGACTGAGAAATGAGCATAACTGGCTCTTTGGAGGGGCTCCCTGTAGGTCAGTAGGCTGGAGCAGCCAGCCAGCACAGAACATATCTTCTGACCATGAAATCTGTCTGTTCCTGCAGATTTCAGCAAGTAGCACCCACAGACTGTTCAAGTGGGTACTATTSTTGTGGAATTCCCAAAGGGAACAAGGAACACAGTGCAGAGAAATCKAAAACCAACTGACTCCAATCACATCGTTTGCACACTCAATAACCGTGAAGGACTGACAACTGCAAATATTTCAGAAATATGTGTTAAACAGACATAGGAGAAATAAACAAACATTGGGGAAACAGTTTGCCTTTGTCTTAGAGCACACAGAGCRTTACTGAGCACATCCCCTGCACAGAGAGCCATTAAATGTGTCCCCACCTCTTGATTTGGTAACTTGGGGTGAGAGGTGATTGACTTCTCACTGCACGGACACTGCTTTCCAAAGAGAGGGTTTGCTCTAAGGAGTTCAGTGATGGAAATCCTGTGGACTCACCACAAAGCACACAGTGAAATCCTTTGGCA